GGGCTCTTCCTGCCTGTCTGGACCCGAAGCCGCTGGCCGGCTGTCCACATTCGCTGCGACGCCAGCGTTGCCGGGCCTTGACATGTTCGCAAGTCTTGCCTCGGCTGAACGGAACAACGGACTGCCTCATCGAATGGCCTCGGAGGGCTCGGACAATCCGGCCACGAGGACTCGAGACGCCGGCAATCTCGGCCTTCCAACCGACCGGACTCATTCGCCGACCGGACTCTCATCAGCCGCCGGACGTCTGAGCGAACTGTCCAGTTCGCTTTTGTCTGGTGAGCTGTTACGAAAGCGCATCTTCGAGTGGTGGCTTCAAGCGCTCCGCCCGCGTACCGACAGATCCGGCCAGCTGGAGGCTGATCTGGCAGAGGCAGCGGGTCTAGTCAACTTGACGACGGGATCACGTAAGCGGACTCAAACGGTCTGCGCCAGCCACTTGGCCGCCCTGTCGCCCTCCTCTTCAGGCGAAACGTCTCGTAGGCTACGCTCGCCTATCAGGAATTTCGTCATGGAAACCCCGAATGGTGCCACTTCTCCCAATGCTCCCTTGAGACACTTGACCAAAGAGGCTGAACTCATTCATTCGGGTGGATATGGCGAAGAGGCCATGCGGAAAAGGGCAAAAATGGACTTTGTGGATGTCTTGAAGAAGCCTGTGACGCCAACAGAAGCAAAGAATGCCAAAGATGCATTCAACGTCAAGTTGCCAAATGAAGTGACACCCGTCAACTTGTCGTGGCGGTCTCCGCTTCGGCAACATGAAGTACTGCAGTCAAGACAATCGCCACTTGCGCATGTTGCAGACAGCCATCCGCGTGGAAAAGAACAGCAAGAAAGTCCGATAGATCTATCACTGTCGACCTCCGGGACTCCCGATCAAGACGAAGCCGGCGAAATCGGCACGAGAGATTTCCTCCCTAAAATCAGTTCAGCGTGGGTTATATTCGTTTATAAACATTATGCTACTTATAGTAACATATAATCTAGAAGTTAATAAAAATTAAAGTGTAATAGCCTATTAACATAATCAATTCTGAGTATATTTGGCCAGGTGATGGCAAAAAGACCAGATAAAAGAGCTAGATTGGGGCAAAGCATGATGGAGCTTCACACCTTCAGCCAATAATGATATTTGTAGATACGAGGGATAACTTGGTTTCGATGAATATCCTAATATAATATTGTTGGCGAGACTTTCATTTTCTTTGAAAGTGAATGAAGAAGACATTCACCAGAAGACGACGGCTACTGCAGCTTTAATACGATGCTCAGGTTGAAGGAGTCCATGAGACTTCCTCCTTCGTTTCGGGTGAAAACGGGCTGAACCTTCATCCATCATATGATTGACATCATGAAAGCTGGAACTCCTTGTAAAAGTCGCAAGTAGGCAGTGGATTAAGTGGAAATAGTGAGGCTCTGAGATATGGGCAGGAGACTCTTGATGCAGCGCTAACTTGAGACTTGTAAGAATGAGTTTCAGTTCTGATGATGTATAGCCCGTTTTCACCCGAAATGAGGGTTGATGTATCGTTGATTGCGTCAACCCAAATGGCTGCAGTAGAAACGCGAATCGGTCATCGTCTTCTTGTGAGATCGACCTTTGAATCTCTTCTTTATGCACCTCCATACGAAATGAAAGTCTCCACAATAAAGAGGTTTAACCAAATTTGAGTTAGATCAAGGCGACGGTCTATTCCTTCTTGCGGCCTGGACTATAATAAAATAGGATTAATGTCGTTTTCAAAGAGGCTTCGAAGACCCTGACTCACCCATGCTGCAGCTTAAGTCATTCTTGTAATTTTGCATGCCGACGTTGTGCTAACGACCAAGCATATATTGGAAGAAGACATGGTAACACCTTCGGAGGATTCAGTGCAGATTGGCTAGGTCGCCTTTACATCATTATTAAGTAGAACAAGAGAAAGAGAGAGAGAGAGAGTTATATATCGTGAAAGAAAAGTGTTACCAAACCGGAGAATTTTAGAAGCTACGTTTCCGATGCCAAGGCTTTAAGAACCACTTGTTGGGCTGATTAATCAGTTTGATGATCTTCCCTTTGTGCAAAAGATGTTTTTGAAGCTCATCCAAGAGTGAGGCTACTGATAATCTCAGAAGCTACCTACTAGGAAAAAAAACATTTTGCAAGATTGCTTTGTCGATAATCCCATTGTAAGTAAAGCATGGGAACTCACGTATGCTCTGTAACCCATGGCGTAGGGGTAAATTATCCCAAATTATCCACTGCCTTGCAATAAACTCGTCCGTTTGCCGCTGAGGGATGTTGATGAGACCTGGGCGAGATTGAAAGCA